CATTATTCTCATAGCACAAACTCTTTTTCTAAATCAAATAATTTTCTAGAACTTATGACAATAATATAAATATACAGTGGCCTAGAAATCAGGAAGCACATTTTAAGTACAAAAGTAAAGGGTGGAATTTCAAAATTTGATTCAACACTCACCTCTTTTAGTTGATTCTAAATATGTTACATTATTATGGATTTCCCAAAGAAAGGAAGAAAATGATACAATTTATAGATATGTTTTGTTACAAATTAAAATTGTTTTACATTGACAAAGAATATATAAAGTGGGGAATATGTAAATGAATGGATCTAATAATTTAAAGTTTTGGATTAGGATATAATATTCTATCTACTTAATTCCCTTCTTCACATATTTATATCAATAAAAAGACAACTTCAAGATCTTGCATTAATAAAATCACTTTCAAAAAAAAGCTGACGGAACAATAATGCAAAGAATAGAACATTTGTTTAATTTGTTTGGCTTCTAATTTTGCAAGATAATAAGTGGATTTGTTTTTTCTTCTCACTTAATAAGTGTTGGATGAGCATTTGCGAACCATGATATATTGAATTAATTAATTTTGTAAAATTGATTTAAGTTATTACAATTGAACTTAAGGCTGAGTATTTTAGACTTTAAAGTTTTAATTCTAGACTTAAGTTTAGTGTGTAAAAGTTTCAAGTTAATGCAAGAGATCAATTTTGTCACTTCAGTTCAAACCATGGTTTTGATGCAAAATCATTTTGTTATAAAATTGTCAAACATTTTGGTGCAAATTGTGTCTTCACAAGTGATTTTAAAAGCTTCAACCATGGAACTAAACTATTTTCATGAATGAAAATGTCTCCAAACTTCAAACGACAACCTTTCTGATGTTGGCACATTTAGAGCATGTTATGTTTCTAACAACTATCATTAGCAATTTAGGCTATATTCATGGAGCTCTCAGTTATTTGGAAGATGAGGCTTGAAAATTTTATTCATTAACCTAAAATGTCCACTTTTGCGGCATGTTTTTCTAACGAACAGGACGGACTCCTTGTGAACATTACGATCTTAATTGTTATAATTTAATTTTTCATTAGATTTGAAGATATATAATATTAAATTCTTTGAACTAGTATATTGTTATGTGTAATTTTAAATGTGATAGTGACATAAGATTAATATTTTAATTTTGTTTAACTTGATGTAATTTAAAAAAAAAATTAATTGTATTGTTAAGTGTCAAAATTACCTTAATTCATAAGGTCAATTTAACACTTTTTGACTCTAAATACTTACTTTAGGTAATTGTAATTGAGATATTGATGATAAATTGTATAAATCTCACTTTCCAAGTTGCCACATGCGTTTTAGGTTGAAAAAAAAGACTAATTGACCAACATTTAGCGCAGCAGCTGAGCTCAATGTAGGAGGCACTACGCGTGAAAGCTGCGCCCAACGTGGAAGAAGTCAAGCGAAGGATCTGATGAAAAAAGAGGTGCGTAGGATAAAAAATTAATAATTACAAAAAGAGGTCTAGGATGCCATCTGAGGAGATAGATCTACCTAGGGGGTTAGGAGCCGAATTTTTATGATGTATTTTCTTATAATGGTTTCTAGTCTTATTAGTTTGTAGATTTATGTCGTTGGAAACTTGATGTAACGACTAGGAAGTAGAAATAGTGACGTTCTTGATGTTCATGGAGGAGCCGACACTTTTCCATGAACTATAAGTTCTTAATTCCATTTTTATCGAGTTATGTATGAAATATTTAATTAGATTGCTTCTTAGTTGTGATTGGTTCTTCCTATCCATTGATGTACTTTGGAAAAGAAGATGCTTAGTTCGTTTAAGGAAAAGAACTTTTGAGAAATTATGGTTTGATAGTCCAAAGCAAGTAATTCATCTTTTACGCATAAAACTATATGTAGTTGCATGTTTAATTATCACAATGAATGCCTATGTTCATATGTTTGCTAGACATAGATTCATATTTACATTGAAAACTCTCAAACTTGATGGCATGTGTTGCTAGACATAAAGACATGTTTGATGGTTCATAGATTGCAATTTTATCGATTTAATTAGTTGCTAGACATAGAGTTAATTTGGTAAAGTGTTAGCATGGATCAAGACATTAACGGCTAACATAGTTGAGGGCGTACGTTAATCTCAACTCATATGCATAGTTGTTAGAAATAGTGGTGTGTGTGTCATGATCATTGATTTTGTGTTTAAGGCTTTGGTTTTATTTCATGAGTTGATAAGTAGACTAAAGTATTAGTTCTTAGTGAAATTGAGGTCTCGTGTTGTGTAGAGTCATACTTGTTTTATTTGCATAATTGTTGCCTAATCTACTGATATGAATACTCAGTCAATCCTACATCTAGCTAAATTCCAATATTTTTATTATCAAAACTTTTCAACTAAACCAACAACAAATTAAAAACCCCTTTGAAAACTAGTTTAAAATAGTAATTTGATTTTGAAAGCCTGAGTTAGCAAGTCTTTGTGGATACGACAACCCATAACTTTTTTATTTATTTGCGACACCAAAAGTATAAATTTTACCATTATTAACGATTTAGCATGTATAGCAGGCAGCACACAAATCTGCCCCACTCATATTTAGAACATGCATTACATAATATTTCATACCCTTTTCACAAACATGCATGTTCATGTCCACCCTAATTTGGGCGTGAATTAAGCATAATGGTAAGCATAACAACCAAGTAAAAAAGTAATTTATATTGTCTCCACTTCTCAATGGTGTGCATTTGTTCACATTGTGGTATATTCAAAATCTTCTTTTTCCTTCTTCTAACTCAATTATCACCATAAATCGTGACAGAATTTAAAATTTTAATAGTTGAAGTGATATAAACTAAAGAGGTGAGTTTCTCTATTATTTCTATAAGGGTAAGATATTTTGTAATTTTCAGAAATTTAGCCATGTTATATATGTTCCTAGCTAGTGGTGCTACAAATGGTGCAAAATGCATTATTAGACCAATAAATTTGGTACTTATGGTTTAGCTAATTTACTCTAGAATAATAGTACCTAGTCCCTATGTTATTATGTATATATCATGGTGAGATATGAATTTGATATACTTTTTTTTCATTTTGGAAACATGTACATTTTGTTGATGAGAAACTAGTAATATGGTATGGGAAGGAATTTTGTACTTTCTATTATCTTCTTTTATTATACTCACAATATTGGAAATTTTCCATTTTGAAGCATTTGTTGTGTTTTTTCTTCAGTTCAATGAACTTTAATTAAGAAGCTTGTTCAATGACTAGTTCAGTGTTCAATCCTTCACCTAAGTTGAGATGGCATAAAGCATTAAGCAATAATCTCTTTGACATTCTATATTTTTTAAATGTGTTAAATACACACCATTGATATAGTTTTTTTTTATATTAAAGAAGGTGCTAAATAAATATTTGTTTTAGTGTGTATGGAAGCTTTGTGTAACACTCCAGCCATGATATTCAATTCCTATAGGTCTATGAATTTATTGAATATGTTATCATTTTGTTGGAATTTCTGACAATTTATGGGTCACAAATATAATTCTATAATTGTGTTATAGCCATTATTTATTTAGCCAATATATATAAAATGGTCTTATGGATTAATTTGGTGGCTAAGAGCATATGTGTCATGAAATATTATGAGTGTAGATACCTTCGGACAATTTCTAGTTTGATGAAGGGACTGAATTAGAATATTACAACTTAAGTGGTAACCGTTAATGTTACCTTTATGGGTTATGGTCCCCAGTTGCAGAACAACGGGTTTATTGAGTAACTGAATAAGGATTGGTTTACGAGGATATATGACTTAAGTCACAAAACCAATATATATATATAGAGAAAAAAGAGAAAGGCATAAGGTATCAAGCCCTCTCATTCTCACTTTTGCAAAAGAACATCAGAAGCACTCTCGTTCTCTCTGAATTCCCCTCTAGCGGAGCGAACGGAAAACCATCAGGCTCTAGCAACCGGAACATCCTACAACCCACATACCTCGGAGCATTCGGAATGGCTAACCAAGGTATGCGTTTTCTTCTTCACTATGAAACCAATTGGGGTTTTCTTCGGTCTGGATTAGGATTGTTCCATTAGGGTTTATGTATGGGCATAAACATTTGGTTTTGGAACAATGTCGTAATCATTCGGTTTCGGGGATACGATTAGGATTAATCGGAAATATCCAACACATTTAAGCTTAAATTCCCAATAGTATTTCATCTAGTAATAGAGTCTTTGGCTCTCCGCTACTTAAATTTGTAATGTTATATACTTATAGTCATTGATTTCATCGAATCAATATGATTAAGTAAATATAATGTTGTCATATTAAAAGAGATCATAGGATTGAGTTGTAAATTCAATCTCTAACCAAATATAAAATGAAATATATATGAGATCCAAATTTTTAATTTCCCACCCAACTTATAGTAGAGCTTTAGTGGGTTATATTATTCTTTTAGTTTTCTTCCTAGTCCAAAGCAACATGCTTAACATATTTTAATAATATAATACTTAATGACAAAGGTATAATTCAGGTGGTATAAGCAATTAAGCATAAGTTAGAAAAAAAATTGAGTACAGGGATCCTATAGGACTGTTCAGTATTAAATTGGATTGTGACAGATAACAAAAAAACAATTTTCCAATGACCATGATTTTATATTATTTTTGAATAAAAAAATAAATAAAAAACTTTTAAAAAAATGTTAGTCTCATATTCCAATAGTTTAGATGAATTGAATTGTATGTATAAATTAAGTTTGAGGGGTATATAAGTAATTCAATCTGTATGCTTAGTGATGACTAAGTGGTCCTATTTGTTGTGACTTTTGATAAGGTTGTTTAGGTTAAAAACTCAAAGGGTCCCACACTGAACTAAGCCTTTAATTTCACTTTAAAAAGACTTTCATTTCTTCTTATTCTTTTGCTCCTTACTCTTCTACCTTCTTTTTATTGTGATGGTGGATGTTTGAACCAGATGGAGAAGCAGGGCACGTGCAATACTAACTCTTATGAACCATGAGAATCATACACGTGTAGTTAGTCCTTCATGTGCTCTTCTTCCCCATCTTGATAACAACACCTTATTAATAAGCCAATTCAAATTGCTTATGTTCCTCATACAAGGTCAGTTCTATTACTATCATTATAACTTCAACTTTTTATTTCTTTATTTTTCAACATTATACATAAACTTCAACATTGAAACTTTATGGATCTTGAGTGTGTGGCTTGGAATATTGCCATGTTTTTGCAGACATTTTGGTTTATAAACATTGACTAAACTATCTTATTGTGTCATAATCAGAGAACTTGTTGCCAAACACATGATAGAGCCCTAAGAAGAAGAATAAGAATTACTTTAGGAAAACTCAATATTCTAGAATTGATAGAATGAGAAAAGTTATTTACACCAAGCCCATATATGTGACTTATATATAAACAAAATTAACATCTATAATTTTATACTTTGTGTGACTTCATACATCAAAGAATTATGATTGATACAAAATAAAATGTTTGAAAATGGGTGTCAAGTGTATGAGACTCCTACCTAACAATGTACGTGGAGAATAAATGTATACAATCTTATTCTTATAAGAAAAGAGATTGTTTCTCTTATTAGAGTTCACCAACCTATTATTTTAAGACAAATAATCTTATTATTGCATCGAGAGTAACCATAAGATAAGAGGAAAAAAAATATGGTTTTATTATCTTACTTATGCTAACAAAAATGTGTCATTCTCAATGAAGCACTAATGAGCTTGCCTCACCTTCAATTGCATATGGTTTTATTATTGAAAATGACAAAAGTGGTATATATGAGTAGGACATGGTTTTATCTACTCTCACTTATAAATTATGTTACTTCGTGTTTCACTTGCTGCGATTGATCAGCAAAATATTTAATCATTAAACTTTTAGTTTAAATATATATTTTTTCAACCAATCATATGGAGGCACATGAAGTGATACACTTTTTGGAATATAAGATTATGTGAACATCACATAGATAGCATGCTTTTCATGAGGTTAATTGTTAAAAAATAATCTAGTTATATGTTTGCTGTAAAAAAATTGCACTGTAAATTAATGTGCATTGAATAATTACTGAACATTTTTTTTACTTATATTTGCTAGGAGATAATGATGATATCACCTAAAGGGAAACAAAGACAAAATGAGAAGGAAATTTGTCTTTTTTAATAATATAAATATAGAATATAGAGAAAAGATAAAAAAGAAATTGAGGCATTAAATTCTCTACTAGTTATTGTGTGGATTCCATAAAATCACTCATACATGCTCAGTTTGGGTGAAGTACTCTCCGATATTAGACAATTCAGATGATTTAAAAACAATTTATAATATGCACTGTTAATTTTTAATGTCACATGTTATTATATTTTTCGAGATTAAATACACATGTCGTTTCGGTTGAAAATAGAGAATGTATTTCTACCTATATATTTTGGTGTATTTATAATGTATAAAAGGGAATTTATTAGTTATTTTACAACTTGCCTCCACCCATAAAAGAATGCATCAACTCTCAAACAACTCAATAAGATATACATAAACCTAACTTAAATAGTTGATTCACGATTATGGGGAGCATATCTTCTATCCAAAAATTGTATTTTATTTCAAAAGTGTATTCTAACCAATGAATAATATAGAGAGTGATATATTTTTTAGGATAATATCTCGATTTCCACGTAAACCTACCACATGAAAAGGAATATAGTTACTCAGCAAAACATCTTGATTTGGTGTGTCCTTTTGTCTTATAATCTTCTTGTCTAGTTCTCATATTGAAAATATATTTACCATATTTATTGAACTCATTGTTTTATGACAAATAATTGATAGTGATGCATTTACAAAATAGGAAATAAGGTTAAAACAACAATGCATCCAAGAGAGACAACACATATAATTGGCCTCACTTTTCCGTACACCTACTTAAAATGATATCTTTAATTAACCACACCATAAAAGCTTTTTCAAATCAACTTTTGAAATGTGTGGTTCTATGTTTATATGATTTGATACCCTATTTTGAAATAGAAATATCCATTTTGTTTTTATATATAATTATTGGGAAATCTTTATCCATGGGATATTGAGATGTATCAGTCTTTTATGAGTTAGGTAAAAGAAACATATAAGTGAGCTTGACAACATATATTGACCCAAAACTTCAAGGCATTAGGTCTATGGTTCTATCCACTTATATGTTCTTCAACTTATCCATTTTTACACAATACGAGACTTCTTCACATAGTTATTAAATTGGTTCGTGTCGGTCGGTTAAACTAGTAAATCAGTGAACCGATCATAATACAGGTATAATACAACAATTATATTAGTCATGCAATTATATCGGTCAAAACTGGTCATACCGGCCGATTTTCAATTGAACCGTACCGGTCATACGAGTCGGTTTTTATTTAAAATTATTTTTTAATGAAAATAAAGATAATTATTATTTTTATTGATTTTTTAACATTAATGTTAATATATTATATATGTATATCTAATTTCACTTGTATGCGGTTTAATTAGTGAATCACCGATTGAACCGCTATACCACTATATTAGTACCCATACCAATTTGATGACCGGTACTGTATTAATAACACTGCTTCTTCATTCACATTTAGAATACCCACCAATAATCTCTAAGAGTACATGGGGTAATGGTTAAAGCTTGATAAGATAAGACTTTTGTTAAGATTACCATCATTATTATTTGCTTATCTTAGCAAATATGTCATTTTATGATAAGATTCATTAACTTACTCACATTTTGGAACACAATATGTGACCATTCAATTTCCATAAAAACCCACAAATTACTCACATGATGCTTATGTCTTCTTAGTTAATGATTGATTCACGTGATTATTTGGGAAAATATCAATCAAACTTATATTTGTTATTTGAATGGTGATTTTTTTACCACGTTTTAATTTCTTATAATTTTTATACCAATTTTATAATTATTGATGTATAGATTTTAGCTTTCGGAAAAAACATGTTGATGATGGATAATTATAATTTAGTGGTAAAAAAATGATATTTATTATTTTTACTTTTTTGCAGACTAAGAGATTTTCTTGCTATCACTTAGTATACCATAAAAATTCATACCTCATAATAATTAAGATATGTGGACCTCATAGTTTAATTTCTTTCCACCAACAAACTATACTTTGAGATGAGATATAACCAAATAACATTTATTTTATTTTTTATTTTTACATTGTTTTTTGGAGTTATAGAGTTTCTTAGAATTAAGAAGAAGAAAAATGAAATATTTATATAATATAAAAATTTATACACAACAAAATTCATTTTCAAGCCATTACTCAGATACTCGAGCTTAAATATTTTTAGATTAATTTTCAAATTTCTTTTTTAGTTCCCTTTTTTAGTTTACTGTTTTGGTTTTACTTCAATTATGTGTCTATCATTATTTCAAGTAGAGGAGAGCAAGACACGGCCCTACCCTAAAAACCGGCTCTACCCATTTGCTTTGGAACGGGTCTGGGTCTGTCTTGGGGTCACACGGCCCAGCTCGCACTCATATATAAATGAAAAAAATTATGTACCCAAAGAACCCATCAAAAACTCATTTTTTTTTTCCTTATCAATAGAACAGGGTTTTAGACCCCAAGAAGTCTCAAAACATTGCTATACTAATCAGAGCACTAAATGTCACAAGAGATGAGGTGTGAGTCTGTAACATTCCATAAATACTTAATACTTAACAATATGCATAATGCTTGCATACTGTTAGTGCCTTGCAAAATTCTAATGCTTGTACATATTGTTTATAAAATCTTAATTGGACCCGTACATGTAGGGTCTCATCAAATATATGGTCGGGTTTGAATTTAATAATTAGCCTGATCAATATTTAGAGTTAGGTAAAGGACAAAGTCTTACCAGACCCAATTCGGTCCATACTCACCCCTAATTCCAAGTGCAAAAAAAACATTATGTAGAATTGAATAAGTAAATATAAAATGATGAACTTATAAGCCTAATATTTTAAGATTTTGTGTTAAGATGTGGTGTCAAACTCACTTATATGATTCTTTTAATTAATTTAGGGAAGAACATTTCCATAGATGAGATCTATCAACAATCATAATGCTAATATAAAAAACACTATAGGAATTAAAATTAAAATTTGATAAATTTTCATGGAAAAACATATTTAAGCTAAATATAAAGTTGGATATTTCACTAGGTGATATATTGCAAAAAAAGAAAGAATAATAATCAGAATATTCTTTTGTAAGAAAAAATATATATTAATGTCACTACCTTTTTCTCTTTTGTTTGGTTTAATATGCAATTACTTGTGGCAAAATAAAAATAGGTCCCAAATTTATAAAAAACAATTATATGAATCTTCTACAATAAGGTTTGATTTAAAATGAGGGACTTATGCAAATGATGGAGGCGGAATAGAAATGATGGTACTAAATTTGTCTTCAATTTTACCATATGAAATGTTTATAACAAAAAATGAATAAAATAAAATAAAAGTTTGATACAAATCATAAGAATGTGAAATATATATTCTTTTTTATGTTCAATTATTATTAACGGTTGATGACTTAAGATTAAGACTGAGAACAATATTTCATTTCTACTTTATGTTAAAGAAAATTATTCATATTTTTCTATAAAATGTATTCTATTTTTTTAAATAATTGCTTTGAGTTATAAATGATAGATATACATATTTTCTCATAAGAGACAATCTTATTCGAGACGAGTAGATTTGTTATAAACAATAAGACTATTCTTATCCGATATTGAACGCGGACACATTCCCGATGATTTAAACTTTGAAGTCGTATTTTTAGTTAAGTTAGAATAATGCTCCATCAATTAATCTACTATAATCATATTATCTAATAATTTATATCATGTACAATCTCTTCCACTATCAATGCTAACATGTTGATGAGCATTGATGTGTCTATTAATTCATTTTCCTATCGTTTGTAATGTGTATTATACATACAATAAATGTTTAATATAGTAAATTGTG